AGAAAGATTTATAAAATATTAAAGTTTTAAAAAAAGATGAGAAAACGAAATTTTTCATTAAAAAAAATTTTTTGCTACTACGTTTATCATTTTATTTTTCGTCATGTACATATTTCGATGAATTAATTATTACATATTTCGATGAATTAATTATTTCAAAACGCTAAGATAAAGCCAATAGAACATTGCTGAAGTAAATTTGTATTATTACACAGAAAAAAAGTGTGCATATTTTTTAACTCATGTAAGTTGAAAAAAAAAAGTAATATTACTAAACAGTTGCTCAAAGTACTCCACTGTTTTATTTCGTTCTTTCATATTTTTAGATTTAAATTTCAAAGATTCTGAGCGATTTGAAAATTTGTAAAAAAAAAAATTTATAGGTCTCAAATATATTCCAATGCTTAAATTTATATTCCAATGAATATGTCTACATTAAACTTAAAAAGTAATCTAAATTTTTTTCAAAATAAAAAATGAAGACAAACGAAATGGGCAAAAATATGCTAGCATATCATTTTTTTTTTCAGTGAAAAAGTTTTAATGTTTTAATAATTAAAATGATATTTTCAGCAGTTAAAGCAATTCCTAACGATCATTAAGGCTAATTGCTTATGCCTCGATATTATTGATGGTGAAAAAAATTGAAATTAAATTTTCGATGGATGTTTGATGATATATAGTCTCTTCAATCATCTCTCATAAATAAGGCATGAATTTATTATCCTATTGCAAATATTGCCTATTTAGTGTCCTCTTTCGTTTACAATTCATGAAACTGCATCTGAAGGTTAAATTTAAGCTAACAAGTAGATTTAAATTATAAGCAGTTGAATCTAACATCCGCCACTCACTCCAGCAACACATGAAAATTTTCAACCATCCAAAAATCTTGCATTGAAGGACCGTGTTAAATTGAAGCTCTGATCGAGGAAAGTGGGAAAACAGTATTAGTCTGTTGTCTGTGTGTCTTCTCGAGGAATTGTGAATTGTTGGGGTTGCTGGATTTTCGGGAATCGAAAAATTTTCCAGTTAGATAGTGGGAGATATTAGTAATGTTGATTGTAAGGGAAAAGAGTAATAAAGATTGAGATGAGTTGTAAAATATAATATTATGACAGATTGAGAATGAAAGGAAAACGTTATTCGATGAAGGAGCAGTAACGAATGATGGGAATTATGTAACATAATGTATGATGTATACAAAAATATATGATATAAATGAGAGATAGAAATAATAAAAGTATATGGAGTATACTGTTGTATGGAGTAATTGGAATAATTGGTGTGGGATTATTGTAACTGACGAAATATATGAGATAAGTGTATACTGTTAATAAGATAAAAGTAGAATTATGCAAAAGAAATTGTAAAATTGCAAGAAGAAAAAACTATAAAGAGCTTGTTTGAAACATTCGAAATATACTTGTGTGTATGCAATTGAATTGATTGATTGCTAAATTAAAAATTGCTAATTATTATGTCTTTTTTTAGAATATGACTTGATTTTGAAAATTATCAAAAGGTTTTTTTGATTTTGAAAATTATTAGAAGGTTCTTTTAGTATATCTCAATCAAAGATAATAATGCTTATTCGGCTTCTTTTTTTACAACAATGTAGCTGTCGATTTTAGATTACGATAGTGTACCACAGTACATTACAAGTGTTGTATTAATCGAACGAAAATATGGGCTTTCGCCCAACATTTTGGCACCATAATGGGAAGCAAACAGAATACGAAGTTGGAGATGAATGTCTTTCTCGAGTACCATATGCTTCTATCATTGCAACATCAATGTGTGGAATTGGTGTAATTCTTTTTACACTCGTTATGACATGGGCATTCAATGCATCCGTAGAGCAGGCTCGTCGAACACTGAATGTGGAGAACATACCATGGCTTGATAAAGTGATGCATTCGATCATGACTCTTATTAAGTAACGTTAAAAAAAAATGTCTTTTGTTAGAAGCAGTTCGAGTTATGCAAAATAATTGAAAGACATCTTCACGTTATTAAGTTTTTCGTATTACTTTACATTAAGAATGATGGCAACTAAATCTGATATATATTTTTTGATATCAGCCCTAAAAGTAACCTAAGTTTTACCGTGAAATATAGGTATGTTGCAAAATGAAGTTTCGCTATTGTCTTATCATTCCGTTCTTATGTAATTAGTAACCTTTTGGGAGCAGGACAAAAGTGAAAATATTTATTCTAATTACATATATTTCCATTTCACTTTTTTTTTTCATTTGCAGATGCAAGTACTCTTTGTTTGTGTTGCGATGTTGATGGCAATAGCAGCTATTATATTGCTTGTCATTGCTACTATGAGTACAGGTTCTACAAGAAAAGAGCTTTATAGGTATACATCTTTTTGGGTTTTTCTTCATTTCATAGATTTTCCATTTCAGCATAATTTATTTTTCTAGTATAATTTAGTATAACTTATTCGCATGCATAGAATAGTGAGCATTCATATATTTTTTTTAATACTACTGGAATGTCTCAAAGGCGTTTTATTATACAATTTTATAAACTGTGTAAAAAAAAGAAACAAAAAATATATTACGAGAACGTATTCTATTTCCTGGATTAACATAGTGAATGTTACACTTTTATACTTTAGTTGGTTAGAGAGTTGAAATTCTCACTGCTTTTATAGATTACATTGGTTATTGCTGCTACTGAATAGATACGTAAATTCATTTTTCCTTTTTAACTTCATTATGTAATTTTTGCAAATATGCAATTTTTAATACAATTATCATGTTTTCCGGCTCTCCTGCTAAATGTAAGTTAAATACCTCGTAACAATCTCAAAAAAATAGTGGTTGCATGATAGGAAGTAAATCGTGGAATTTTTCTAACTAATCAGTAAGCTGTAATCGAATGAGCGATGTTTTTTATGATTGGTAGCGCGTTGTAATGTTATAAGCAATCGACTTATCCGCGATGTTTACATTCTAAGCTTTTATCGAAGAATTATTATGTAGTCATGTTTACTGATACAGTCATTGGGAAATCATGACATATTGCGAAACATGGTGAATTAGTTACAAGAGAATATTAATTAAAACTCTTGATTATTTTCAGAGGAGTGCGTGGCCGTATGGGAGGAAAATTGGCAAATGCATTTTCATTGATAACTGCATATTTGTTAAATGCGTGCTGGCTTATTTGTTTTGCAATTGTAGTCGTTCTTTGTTTCGTATACTACATATTTACCTTTCTCTGTTCGTCGATATCATTCAATGATTCCGATTGTCTTGACTTTTCACTTTTTCAACCATTTACTCAGCAAATTTCCACAAATATAAGTTTCTTTTGTTTTCCCTTTCTTTAGAAGTTAAGAAAAAATTGACTGTGGCAGAGTTATTTGAAAATACTATACATTAAGAAGAATATGAAGAAACATTTATTCCGAAATTATTAATCTGCTTGGTTGAACCAAACTTTTAGTCAACTCTAATGCAACTAATGCAAATAAAGTAAGCAATGGGTTGGACGAATGTAGTATAGGACAAACATCAGAATTACATATTAGGCTATATTTCTTTTTTTTTTTCTTGATTTTTTGAAAAATTCGTTCTTCAATTTGAAGTTTATTACCTTATATATATTTATTTATTACTTTTTTTAGACTTTGAAGCTTTGTGGCGGTGATGTGCAGCAGTTCTGTGCTCTTTCATGGAGTGCGTTTGCATGGTATTTGGTTAGTTTAATTTCATGCTTAATAGTTATCAAAGGACTGGAACATTTTATGATATGTAGTGCGGCAAATTATGCTCATATCAGCAGCGGATTGAAATATCTCGAGCTGAGAGAGGTAATTTCTGATTAGATACTTATATTACAATGTTTTTATTCTTATTATTTTCATTGTTACTATTAATTATTAGTTATTAATGATTATTATTATCATATCATTAGTTATTGATATTAATTATTGTTATTGTTATTATTAAGCTGCAAGTTATTTCCCGAAAAGATTTTCTGGTTTCGATGATGAGAATATCAGTGCAAAATAGAAAAAGAAAAAAATCTAGATTATGTTAAACGTAGATCTTATTGAAATGTAGCGTGCGTTTTCATCATTGGAACCAAAATATATTTGTCGATGATAATTCTTGGTGACTTTATTGTTTTTGAGCATTTTTCTACTATCGGAAAGAGTCTGAAGAAAGAAAACAGACTCCGAACAGTTCATTTATCTAGTGATCAATGTTTGTCGAACATATTTCACGACATTGACATTGGTTGCACGTTTCAATGAAATATAATGATGTTTAATTTTCAGTTACTATTCTCGGGTGATGGTGATGCAGTTAAAAAAGCTGATTTACGGACATCAGATTACCAAATGCAATCGAGAGTTGGAAACATTTCGTCACCGGATTATGGACCTCTCAAATCTTACTTAGCCTAAAAATTTAAATGCTTTATTATTTCCACCCTTCACAGCAAACAGTCATCGTTGATTAATAACAGTTAGCTATATGCTTTTCATTTTGTCAGTGATAGAGAAGGAGATAGAAGAAAAAAATGGTTAATTTCATTTTAGAAAGTCCAGAGGTAGAAATAACTTCCTTTCCTTCTTTGTAGAGGTATATTTGGTTGGATTGAATTCCGTATTGCTCTTATCGTTTGACTGAAAAAGAGTTAATAGTAACACTTTTTTTCTCGTATTTTAAGATTCTTTCGTTTACACTTGTCTTTCCGGTGATGCTTTTATGTACTTTTCATTCATCATTTGCATTTACGGCTTGATTGATGATTTGCAACAATCTCCAAAGCTTTAAACATTGATTTATATTTTGCTTTATGGTTTTAAAGACGTTTTAAAGCTCATCATTTTTCAGTTCCCCATTCACTTATTGCATGTCGGGCATGTTGTTCTTGATGATTTCCTGATTTCCAAAATAAAATAAAATCCTTTCATTTGCACGTCTTGAAGCAGTTTTTTTCTCGTTTCAATATCTTTGTCATATGAAAAAAATTGCGAATGATGTAGAAGTTAAAAGTTTAGGTGCGTTAAATATGTGAAGCGGATATCGATTTGTTCATTTGTTTATTTTGTGGGGAAAAAAAGGAATTACTTCATTGATTTGTTTAGCTTATGCATGTTGGAAGCAGGCAGTGCTGAACTACCGAAGGAAATTGTTAATAACGAACTTTCTTCTTTGTCAAACAATATCACTAGTTGTCTTTCAGCTGTTTCGTTGAAGGTTTATTTTATATCTTTTAAGCTTTCATTTATTAAATTCTCTCAGATCTTCATATTAAAAGTAAACCGTTAACGTTTCAGATTGGCAGTGATAAAGAAACGATAGGTTGTATTGAAGAGTGTGTTATTGCTGCTGAAGAGTTGCAAACATTGGGTGGTTTAGTGAAAACAGATATAAGAGCCGTTAGTGATAGTGTGGCAGCAATCAGCGAGCAAATTGAACAACTTGAAAGCTTATTCCGAAACATCGATCGTCTGGAGAAATTCGTTAATCAGGTGCTTTTTTCCAAGTTTCAAAGTTGAAGCAGTATGAATAATGTGAGACTATCATTAAATATAAAAGAAATGTAAAAGTAGAGGTAAAGTTTTTTCTTCACTCAATGATCATGATTGCTAATGATTTTCAAATCACATCTCGATCATTATTAATTTGTATATTTCTTTGCTTAGTCAGATAAAATAATTATTAGTTATGCCGTGCACAGCGCAAACTTAATCGTAGTATGGCTTTCGACCGTTTTCAGTATCTTGCGTTTGTACAAGTACCACAAAGATTTGCTGCTCAAATAGAGCTGTTCAGTTTTTTCATAAAATTATTAGTTGGACTTCAGAAGAGGGAGCAATTAAATCTTTTGGAAAACGAACTAACCAAGGCAGAAAAACTTCGAAAAAACAAGAGATGGAAGCAAGAAGTGGAAAAAGTTTAACAGAAATTGCAAAGAAAGGAGGTTTGATTTGTGCATATTTTTGTCGTTTAGACATATTTCAATATTTGATATCACTTATATATTGTTTGTGTTCGATTATGGTTCTCGAAAACTAATTTCTCAGGATTACCGGATTTTGTTGAAGTCGAGGAGAGTGAAGATGATGCTCCAAAGGAAGTTTCGTCAAAAGTGCAGTGTGAAGTGTCTTTAACAGGGACCACTTCAAAGGTATTGTATATATGGGGTTTGTCAACTTCTGACCAGCATTATCTGAGACAAAAAAAATATCAAAACTAGGGAATGGAATACTGGAGTAATACATTTATAGATTTTTCATTGGTACTTGATTTTCTTGATGAAAAGGAAACATTTTAGGATAAGAAAGTGAAAAAGAAGATAAGACGACGAAAAAAGTACAAAGTGATCAAACTCAGTGACGGTGTATACAGCTTAGAAACTAAGTAAGGCATTAATCACTATTATTCAGAAGAATATGTAATACAGTTGAAATACACTAAGAAACGCATGTTATACTGACAAAATTAATTATATGTACTCATGCTTGCGTGACAAAAAGTTTTCAGAACTTCAATATTCAAAGTTGTTCCGCTGTCGACGCCTCCACCACAGCCATCATTCAACTTCCGGGCTCAACTGCTCCAAAAGAGAACAAAAAATCAGAGGCTCACAAGTAAATCGCGTCCTGTTTCTTTATATTTCATCCACATAAAGCTTCGTTTTCAAACTCATATCTCCCTTATCACTATGGCAACCGAACACATTTTACGCTTTGTCGCCATGTTTCCTATTTTCGCTTCTTGCAATACACATTGGTTTCTATTTTTTCTTCGTCGCAATTTCAGTCTTCAGTTAGATTAAAATTTTCGGAAGTCTTCAGACGCAGATTCTTTTTTTTTTCATTTCAGAAATGGAGCAAGCCGGTTTGCAGCACAAAAACAAATGGTTTGCCGCAACAAGACCAGCACGTCGTTGAATCTTATGTTTAATACGTGAATTTTATGTTATGTTTAAAATATAAAATTCATGTGAAAACAAGTACGCATTACATACATCATCAGCATAAATCAATGATTCCGCCACAAAACAAAAATTATGTAGAATCACAACAAAAAATCAGGGAATAGATACACTAATGAACTGGATCCGAAGGATAACTGATATAATGCTTTATCGGCGATCACGACTCCGGCGTCTGAAATTCAATTTTTGTATTTTTCGAAATATTATTTTTATCATCTTATAAACAATGTACGATGGTCACTATTTAAACTTTTAGCACTTGTATTTCAGACACAAAAGTAAATGTCCATGGCCGCTGTGGGCATTGTGTTTCGTACAATCAAAGCAATACATGAAAACAGATGAGGAGTAAATAGCTGTTCTATCATAGCCGTCTTTTTCTTAACATTAGAATCTAATGGTTGGTCAGTTCAATTCATGACAAGTAAAATTTTTTGACAAACGCTTCGCAATGGAAAACTTTTTTAACAGTTACTTGGTCCAGGACAAAAGAAAGTTTCTAGAGCATAAGAAAAGGATGCCTTCTTCTATAAGCAACACAATAAAATCTAAGCACATGTATCCTACTAAAGCTTGTAGCAATACCTTTCGCGCTCGCTTCGTCTTGAATCTCGGTCTCGGCCATGGGTAGAGCGAGGAGAACGAGACCGACGTCGTGGTGAACGACTGCAAGATTTGATTACAACGAAAAACATGTATCAGCTACATTTCAGATCTTTCCCAAAAACTTAACTTACCAACATACTGGATTCATTTCCCTCTATTCTTCATTCATACAGTTCATCCCCTACGATGTACCATCAATCATTAAATGAACTCTTAAAATCTTGTAGAAACAGTCAGCGTGAAATGTGGAAATCTGGAAATTTTTAACGAATGAAAGAAGAATTAAACCTGCGTCTTCGTTCACGGTCCCTTTCGCGCAAACGATCTCCATTGCGATCACGGTCTCTATCTCTGTCTCTGTCTCTTTCTCTGTCGCGAGATTCATAATCACGTTCTCGAGCGCGATAATCACGATCTCTCCTGTCCCGATCACTGAAAAGCGCAGAACTGTTTCCATGAAAAGCCACATTTTTTTATATTTTGCATAAATAACAGGGTACGCAAGGGTGTTGAAACAAAAAAAACCCACTTTCTATCATCTCGTGGACTTCCCATGCCAAGTCGAACCTTCTTCCATTCTGCACGTCTTCCTTCAACTATTTTCTACAAAAAAATATGGTAAACTGTCTTGAAGAGAAGTGAAGTAAACAATAACAATTATAGCTTGTTAATAACATTTTAATTTGAATTCTGCATTTATTTTCATCATTTATGATAGCGCAGAAGCGTTTAGAGATTTTGAAAAATTTTACGCTATTTGGAAGAAAATGACAGTGCCGAGTTAAATAGAAGAAAGTATCAAATGTGATTTGCAACCCACATTTGACACTTTATTCTGTTCAACCTCGACACATGGTCATTCTTTACTAAACAGCGTAAGAGTGGAATTTTACAAATAACTGAAGATGTACTTTCATTTCACTGTACTGTTCACGAATCGTTTCCATACCGCAGTGCATTTTACCGCCATAGTGATCAGCTAAACGCGTTTCATGTTCCATCAGGCTAAGCTGTGCTCCACACATATCACATACACGAAGTCTTACTTGTGGTGTATTCAATACCGTCCGCACATCATTCTCAAAGGGAAATATATTAGAAAAAACAATTATGTTATATATACATTTGGGTTTCGAATAGTACTGTTTAACCAATTAACCAGCCAATGTCTGGAAATGCTTCTTAAAACTCCTAAAAAGACATATTCTACTCTTCCTCGACATCATTTAACAATCAAAGCAACAAACTGAATATATGAGTAGCAATTTATTAAGTTGTAAGTTGTGGAAAAAAATGAAAGGAAAGAAACTTCACCTCAAGATCTCGCTTCTTCCTTTTATATTCTTCAATGGTTTTTGATAACTCCATTGCTTCCTCCACTTTACCTTCATTTCCCAATGCTTCCATTTTCACAATTGTTGTTCCAATCTTCTCACCTAATTCCCCAATCATCTGTGTCTGCAAAAGAAACTTCACAAATGAAATGCAATCTCTTGCATTTTAAAATTCAAATTTCAAAGAAACGAAAACCTTCAGAATCTCTGCCTGATCAATTTCATTTTCGCAATCTTTCTTTAATTTTTCTTTTGTCCGTTCAATTTCTTTATCAACAATACGGATTGCCTCTTCCAATCTTTCAAAACCCTGAAATTTTCAACCCTTTTTTAATGATCCGTTATAATATTACAAGGCATAACAAATCTCCAACAAATTGGATGAACAATTGCAAGATGCAAACATGAATGAACAACAAAAAAGGAATAGGAAAAAGCATAATGAGCAAAGAAAAAAAAAGGCAAAAACAGACAATCAGTAGAAGAGCTGAACCAGGATGGAGGCGCACGCTGCAGATCCAATCAGCTGCAAATTTTCATTACCGGACGAAAATTTCTACACTGCTGCACCCACAATTCGTCAACGCCTATTTTTTGTTCTGCTACTGTTAAACGATGATGATGAACAGAACCATTTTTTTTCATTTAACGATCAAAAATTCGAGATTTAAAGTGACGCTTCAAAATGAGACATAGATGCTGCCAGAAAGAAGTAAAATGCTCATTTTTTCTCCAAATCTTTTTCATTCACGGTCTAAAGAAATTTCAACAACAGTGGACATACGAATTCCCATTATGTTTTTCGAACGATGATTGAAAGAGTTTCTCGGTATTTGCACGAAGGGCACTCTTTCTTTCACATGCATAAAACAACAACAATACCTAAAGTAAGAAAACTAAACAACTCGTTCCGATAATAATTAACGGCCAATGCTATTGTTTGATGCACATTCGCTCTGTTACCACATTTCCGACATTTCCAAAAAAATATGACAAAACAAAAATTGCCTGTGCCACCCACCGTAGCATCATCTATTATATTTGAAAAGTTGAAGTGTCCTAGAGCTAGGAATCTCAAAATGAGTGCTAGAAAAAAAGAAATAGAAATATTTTCATGAAGATAACTTTTCTAAAAGGAATATATTATTGCGCAGAAGTCTCAGCGTCACTCATTTAACACAGCCTTAGGATATCGCCCGAAAAAAGGGAGTAAAGAAAACTGGGCTGAAAATATGCCACTTGCAATATAAAACGTAAAAATGACTGCAACATACATCAATATCGTAAAAATGATCTCGTTGCTTCTGAGCGTTCTCATAATCGGCTTTATGGGCACTTTCATGAATCTAAATAAGAAAAGTCATCTCGAATATTTGCTATTATTTGTTTTACAGTCAATCAACTCAGCTCTTCAATAATTAATTTAGGATACATCTGGCACAAATCTTTGCGATCATAATATTATGCGAATTAAGAGATTATGCGAAATTTGCTTGCAACTAAAAAATATGCCACTTACAATATTCAACGCAAAAATGACTGCAACATATATCAATATTGTAAAAATGATCTCACTACCTCTGAGCTTCTCGTAATCAGCTCTATAGACATTTTAAGAAAAGAATTCATTCAAAACTAAGTTTTTAAGAGAAGCTACTGCTAATTAGCATTAAATCAATCTACTCGTACAGAAAGAAGCGAGAGAAATACAGAACCAAAAACTATCGTCAAAAAAAGATGCGCTAAAAAGAAACCTTGTTGCAAGCGACGAGTGATTCAAGACGAGTATCAGCTAGAATTTCATGTGGACAACAACCAAGAAGATAAGCTCGACATACAGTATGATGATTGTAAGGTACCAAGCGACGACCCTCCTCCACTGCTCGATTTGTTCCCATAAGCTGATTGATCATGTCTCGCATTTCAGCCGTCATTTTGCTTTCAGTTTTGCTGAAATTTGATAATCTTAATCGTGGACATTTAACATTCATGAAGACATCCATCATCTTTCACTGCTACTTAGCAGCATCTTCTCACATTTCCTTTTTAAAACCTCCCGATCTAAATTTTTTTGCCAGAATCTGTCTGGAACAAATTGAATCGATAATTAAACCGTTAATTAACCCTACAGTTATTAGATGGATGTCGTTGAGCAATTCAATCTTCTCCCATTTTCCACTTATACATTCATTCCTTCAACTATCGCCTCAAATATCAACTTCTCCAGATCCAAAATTCCGTGCTAGAGTTTCTGTACAACAAAACTACAGTATAGCCGTTAACGGATCCTCCACTATAAAAGTCAAAAATCAACAAACACATCACCAAAGTACCTCTCCCATCCCGCAATATCTCATAAAAAAAAAAAACAACCACGTATGTATCAAAGATAACGCGTCCTTCCCGTTCTCTCTACGAAAATCTTCGTCTCTTCTGAAATAAATTCTCATGAAGTTAACATTGAAAGCATGATTGGAATAAAATTATCAAACGTAGTTTGCATTTTCAAAATCAGACTTGTAAATGTCGAATACAATAATTATAGCAGAGCAATTTCATCACTAAATTTTTGTTTATTTTCTTTTTGGTTTG